AAAAATAGAGCCAAAATTCTTCTCAGATCCATCCAAACGTACATTAAATTATTTTTGAACAAACACACAAGATATAGTATGTTTCCTTAAATGTTGTACAAAAAAGGTAATTTTTAAATATGACATCTAAAATCTTAAAATAAGTATGTGACTGTCAGTTTTGTTAGGTGCAAATATAAGGATGTTACAGTACCATTACACAAGGTCCACACTCAACCATTGTACACATGTAAGTGATACAATGAAGTCTTTTAGATAAGCTTACAGCAACGCCGGCTCTATCAAAATCACTTCTTTCAAATGACACTGGAAAATGCATAACTGAGGCACAGGATGTTCAGTAGGGTGATGTCAATGCCATCGATCATGCACACGTAGACCACCTAGAGACAGTAATTCATTTAGGATGGAAAAGGTTTAAATGGCAATATGCCATTTGAGTATTATATAAGTTTGTGAATAAATGTTTTATTCAGAATCCTTACTGTAATTAAAATGCTGAGAAACATTTTAGGTTCCCAGTTTGAAAGTGGGGATTATTTACTTGAATAAAAATTAAGTTGGTGTTAACAGGTAATTCAGTAGTCAAAAGTCAAAGTACTTCTGTCTGTGGAGTGTTATGGCCAAGGGTCTTATCTGAGGAGAGATCTCTAACAAAATTGTATCAGTTGTTCCATTTAAAGCAAAATTCTGGTGTTATATTACAATTTGTAGGTGCATTACCAATACATTGAACACAATGTACTCCAGCATAGTACACATACTTTTCAAAAGCATACACCTTTGTAATTCTGTATATCTCACTGGACTTGAAGTTTATTTATTGAACATAAAAATGTATTATTGCAAAGCTATCATACTGATTAGAGTCAGAAGTTACTTTTCATTTTATTCCACGAAGTGTTTGGCACAATTAAAGCTGCATAAATTAATGAGATCAATTTAATTAATAATTTCTATAGCAAACCATTTTAAATATAACTGGTAGTTTGGTTTCAACTTTATGTAAAGTGGAGGTGATAGAATTAATTTTACCTAATACTTTTGTGTGAATCTCTGATACCACATCTTATCAATAGTTTCAAATTTGTTGCAGACGGATTGAGTAGACAGAAGTGAGGTTCCAATTTTGCATTAATGTTATGTACTTTCTGCAAAGAATATATTAAAACCATGTAATAATGTAAGAAACAGTAAAATTATAGGGAGAAAGGAGGAAGAGATATTAATGGGAACTGTCATATTTTGTCAGTCTGACTGTTAACACACAATTATATTTTCAGTTTCATTATTAAGGCTGTTGAATTGACATTTAAAAATATGAGTCCTCTTCCTTAAAGAAGGATAGAACTGTTAGAATGTAATGCAATTATTATAAATTTAACTGGAAATTTATTAATAAATTTGTGTTGGAAGTTGGGGAAAATGCAATCAGGATAAACAAACCTATAAGCTGTTATGATATCCATTTCCAGTTGTTCATACAAAAATTTTTTCCCCAGTTCCATTACCGAGCGGCTTTTGTGACAGATGGCATCCACAACTTTTTGGACTTCTTCATCTGAAAAATGTTACAGCAAATTTTAAAATAAATTTTTTTATACCTTTTACTATGAAATACAGATAACATAGTGCAAGGATTGAAAATATGGAGAATGCTGAAATACCTCAAAATATTTTTGGAATAACAATTATCATATTTTTCCTTACTACGTAATGAAAATTTTTAATTTGGATGTAGATATGATCAAATATCAATAAAAGTACTCACAATTTGCTGAGATGACATTAGTGTTCCTCTAACTTATTTATGTAATCAATGACTGCAGGAACTTTAACAGAATATCTTTAATCATCAAAAGTGAAAACTCTGTATGAAAAGGGTGAAAATCTTCCATCTCAAAAGTAGAAATAAGATTCCTAAATTCAAATTATATCACCTACTCAGACTGGAGTATTTAAAACATAAAGTTTCTCAACGTTAAATACTACACAGTCTGCATTATTTCATATACAGGTCTTTCATAATTTTGTGATTTTGTCTACGTATGTTTCCATACCTAAATTTTCCCGTGTGACGATTTTACTGATGAGACCTGCCTGCAAAGCTTCATGAGCTGTGAGAGGAAGTCCAGTGAAGAGCATCTGAGCAGCAACTTTCCTAGGAACTGCTCGGCATACAGCAATGCCAGGAGTGGAGCAGAAAATGCCAAAATTGGCACTGAAGATTTGGAAAATCAAATTAGGTACAAGATGATAATATACAACCAAAACTCTAATGATTTACCACAGATGTGATTGGCAGAATGAGTTTATTTTTATATATAACAACCACTTAAAAATAAGAAAGAAAATCAGAGCTTAATTTATCTGTGAAAATTTATCATATTGAAAGAAAAAAATCACTGTGGCATTGAAAATGTGTTGATTAAATTATGAATTTCCTCTAGTATTTTTTATTTCAGTTGTTGAATGAAAAATTTAGGTTCACAACACAATTTAATTTCATGTCTCTTAAACAGCTGTGCTATTGAACATGTCTTTTGGCTAGTAATGCTTTATTCACTCATGTCATGTTTGGGAGAGCCTTTCCACAGAATTTAGTCAATACTGACATATTACTGTCAATTAACAATGATTAATCCTGCCTTAGTCTTAGGGCATATGAGTAACAAATGTCATTTTAATTGACATATTCTCAGTATCAAAGGTGCTTACATAAAAAGAAGCACATCCAAGTTAAGTCCTGGTTGAGATTACAACATTTTTCACTAAAATCAAAGAAATACACTGTAGGAAGTCATTCTCTAGAGGTTTGTGAGAATGCTTTATTCATGACATGGGTACTTTGTATTGTCTGAGGTGCATTTCATTTTGATAGCTTGTTCTGTTCCGTCTTCAGGAGATTGGTTGTCTTTGTTCTGGGAAATATGTTTTATTACTTTTATTTACTGTAATAGGATAGTTTCCCACAAAGTTACAATACTGTCACATAAAAGACAGACTTCAATATCTATTACCCAGGTGTTGAGAATGAGCTGTTCTCTGTGCATATAGCAATGTCACAAGTTGCCACCAGCTGGCAGCCAGCAGCAGCTGCCAAACCTTCTACCACAGCAACAACTGGAACAGGACATTGCATGATTCCAAGCATGAGTCGAGTGCAAGTGGAGAACACCTGGTTGTGATACTCAGTACCTTCGTTGGTGGTCTGCAAACAGGAATTAAGTTTCCACATAGAGTAAAGTCTTCAATGGGAAATTGAACTTCAGATGTTAATCAGCTTACAATTAAGCAATAGAGATTTCACCATGCAAATGTATAAAATATAATCATGATAGTACTGTCCAGGTTCGAGCTCTGTAGCCCTGGAAGGAATGCAGAAACTGATGTGGGTGGTGGCAAAGAGAAGGAAATGTATATACTATTCAGAATAAAAGAGCTAACAGAGTTCACTTTTGCTCTGCTTGTAAAAGTTTGCTTACTGGTTTCCTTTAGTATCTGTCAGTATAGCCAAATGCGAGTGTAATTCACTGAGGGCAGATCCTGTCCATGTCACAGAGCAGAGGCTGCCAGTCACTAGTTTCTCACCATGGAGGCAAATTTTCAAGGTGGATATTAGTAGTGTATACTAGGTAGGCAGTGGCCTCCTGATTGGCTCACTTTACCTTATTCCACCTCCTCTCCCCCCATACGTTGTCCCACAGGACTATAGAGTTTTACCCAAACTGTATTTATAAGCATGCACCCACCAATTCCTTGAGATTATGGCCAGCTGAAAACACTTTTCCTTCACCATACAGAACAATGCATCGTAAGGCAGGATCATCTTGGTTAAGAGTAATATTACTTATGAGATCTTCCATCATCTGAAGTGAAAGAGCATTCCTATAAAATAAAATTTTACAGACATTATGCTCATTGTGAAAAGAAGCATATCAACCCTTATGCTAGCAAATTTGATAACACTTGAATTATTCAAATTACTTTTTAATGTAATATTTTATTTTAGAAAACTTTATCAACTTTTATTTCCTTGCAGTGTTATTTGTCTATAATCACAAAATGAAGGAAGGGTAGTTTTCTGCTTTTGTGCACTGTGGCTAAATTAGGTTATGCAGCATTCTGTAATTCTGCATTATTTTCTCAAATAAATAATTTTGTTTTATAAACAATAATAGGTGTGGGCCATAATAGCAGTAATTCTAACCTCAAGTTCAAGATTAATTGTGACTCATTAAGAAACAAATCATATACCTTGTTTTCTGGTTGGTCATAATGATTTTCCGTACTCCATCAAGCTGACATGTCTTTGTCAGTGGTTCCGTAAGTGTACATGAACTGTGATGTGTGTGTGTAAAATTACGTTTTGGAGGAGTTCCACGTATTCTAGAAACCTATCACAAAATGATATTATACAACACAGCTAAATTTAATTGTAAATTGAATTTATGAACAGAAGTTGTTATAATTGGTGTTACTTGGATTCTGGGTTTTGAACCCAGTAATAATAATTGTAAACATTTAGTACTGAGAACTTATGCTTTGTGAGTAAACACTAGGTTATGGTAGTAAGAATATTTTGAACAAACTTACAGATAGAATTAGACACACTGAAAACTGGTTAAATATTTATAGAACGATCTGTACTGTCTTATGTACAAGAGAACAAAGGGTATGGTACTTGGATATAATAAAATTATGCTTTACAAAAATAACACTACATGTAATCATATGATAACCTTAACCTAAATATAACAAAATATGCTAAAACGTACATGTTTACAAACTGCTACAGACATGCGAGTTGAATTAGACATCGCAAAAACTTTCATCAGTAAAGTAACGTGTGCTCTTACGTTTCGCTGCATCGATACTGTTATTTGTAGTTAAATTTATTTTATGTTTACACAAATACGAATGTTGTTACTATAGCAACCTGTTCAAGTGAGTCAATATCCAATCATCATTAAGTTTCAGGTTGCTCAGAGCAACGAAAATGGCAGAGCCAGAAGGTATGGTAAACATACACTATAAAATATTTTATATACTTTTCACGCATTATTGGGTGTACATAGTAAAATAGGTTATTAGTCAGTGAAATTTATTCATGTATAATGTCTTATATGAATGACTCAAATGGACCAACATGGTATTGGATGAAAAAGCATCCTGTAATCTTCAGGTGTTGTCTCCTACGCGTGCTTTCATATTCGTTTGACACCGCATCGTCTGCTGATTTATTTTGTGTAATTTATTTGACATTTATGCTTTGTATTTTTGGATGTAATGTCCATAAACATCAATGAGGTATCACAGAGATATTATCCTATTTATTATCTTGAAAATGGGCTTAATTCAAAGTTATCGAATATAGTAGCCCACGTTATATTCCAGAATGTCATTATCACTAAATAAGGAAACATGATGTTATGTGCAGTTCGAAAGTGGGAGGCGGTGTGGCGAATTATATTGCGTTTGAACATTTAAAAGTGCTTTTCTTGATTTCTTTGTTCGTTGAAGGTCATAACATTCAGTGTAAAATGTTTCCATTGCTGGCAGTGACCGAACATTTCTGTTTTGATAAAAAGTATGTTTTATGTGGTGTTTTTAACATAACTTCTAGTATGTAAATTAATTTTCTTTTATGTGGTTGAAAACGTTGCTCATAATAACTGTCACTTATGTAACCAGTTCCTTCAAGTGCTGCTCTGGTGTGGAATATGTTTCAGTGTCACATTTCTCTCCATTTATAAAAACCTCATAAAATTGCATCAGTAAGAAGTAAGCGAACTTAATGTAAATTGTTGATTACATTTTTATTGCATTATAATTTCAGATGAAATTCCATCCATGTTACTGCCTTGCACAATTTGTAACAGAACGTTTAAGCCAGAATCACTTGAGAAACACATTAAAATTTGTGAAAAAAATGTGAACAAGAAGAGAAAAACTTTTGATTCCTCAAAGCAAAGAATTCAAGGCACTGAATTGGCAGAATTTTCTCCAGTTATTCCAAAAAAGGCTGAGAAGTCTCCAGTCAGAAAATCCAAATCAATATGGAAGGAGGAACACCAGGAGTTCGTTAGAGCAATTCGACAAGCTAGGGGCATCAATGAAGTTCCTGGACAGAGAAGTTTACCACCTGTGGTAGCTCAAACAAGGTCAACAAATAATGAGAAATGCCCACACTGCAAGAGAAATTTCGGACCAAAGGCTTTTGATCGACATATAGAATGGTGCAAGGAACAGAAGGCTCGAATTCCAAAATCACCTGTTAGTTTCTTAGCAAAGGAAAGGCTGGAAGCTAGAACCAAGGTAAATATAATCAGAAACTTGTTAAATGCGATTATGGTTTTGCTGTTTGAAAGGAAATAATTTATGTTTGTATGTGGGATGATGGAGAGTCATCCTGATTAACACATTTGTTGCCATACACATTAGAGATTGTGTGTGTTAGATTTTCTTTACAGCACCATCAACCTCATTTCACAATGTATACACATATTTCTTACTTAAATGCCATTTTTCTGACACAGCTGTAGAATTCATACATTATATTTGGATTATAAAGGATATAAATATTATATGTTATTAATGTCTGTATAAAAGCAGCTAGAAATTTAATTTCAACCCCAAAACATTGAATAAAGACAATAGGTGATTAAGATTAAGTACTAACTAATGAACTCTGTGGTAGCAGAACCTGCAGGTTAAACACCGGCAACACCAAAGCCTGCCACCGGCAGTGATCAAGCCAACTCCATCCGTTTGCCATCCTCACGGCTTACCTCCTAAGATCCATCTTGATGTTGTCCTCCCATCTCCTTGGTGTGTCCAGTGGTTGTTTCTTAGAAGGAAGTCAGGTACTGCTAAGCAATGTGTGGAACAAGTCAGAGTACAATGTATCACATTCACAAAATACCTAGAAAAATATTGTAGGTACAAAAACATACCTCAAAAGTATTATAAATTATAACTTATGTTTCTATCTGCTGCCACTCTGCATTTGATTGTTTATTACTTATGCATGTTTTGACCAGTTATGCCATCTTCAATACATGTTCATCAGTGTGATACATTTGGTTCGCTCTACATTGAATTATGTGATATTTATAGTCAAAATTGTCTGTTATAGCCTGTACCTAGTACAGATTATTCTTACAATTACTACTGTGGTACTATCCATATATTAGATATGAAATACATTCCGTATAAATTTATATACATTTTTCCTCTTTCTCACCTCCTCCACAGAGCACTGACTAACTGTGTGTTATCATCCTACTTATATAAATTACCTAATTTATTACCTTGTTTGCTTGTATTTGTTTTGCATGATTTATCTCCTTGTAACCAAATTGACTTAATTGAATTATTATTATTATTATTATTGTCTTTGTGTATTAATCTGTCTTTACTCTTGTAATTTCTTGATAATCTGTTGTTTGTCAATAGCCAGAGTAGCTGATGCACCTATAAACCCACTGTTTGTTGTTGTTTTGCCATATTTATTATTGTGTTCTTTTGTGCTGTGTCTGTAATTGGCCTTCTGGCTGTTGATGCAGCACACTAATAATAAAGAATTGAATTGAATTAGTTGAGTTTTATTATTGGAGTTAAAATATAAAATTTTGCATCCCTTCATTGCTTAGGTGTGTGTACATTATACATTTTTGTTTCTTATATTACCCTGCTATACCTATGTACTTATTAATATTTGCTGTTGTCAGCTATATGTTATTGTCATTGGTGTTCATATCACATTGTTCTAAGCCACATCATTTTCAGGTATTAAAATTCTTTAGCGCAGAGAACAATGTGATCTGTATGCTCTACAATATTTATGTGAACCTAGTACCACAAGATTTTAAATTAGTGGTTTTAATTTAAGTTCAGTTTCAGTTCACCCTCAGGTAGATTTTTCAACAGGTTTACAACTTACAGTTAATAATTCATTTGAAAATTTTACAGTATCGGGCTCCAGTAATAAAATCAAAACGTTCATTGACCAGAGAGAAATATTCTCATCATCTTCATGGTGGTGGGAGTTCTTTGGGCAGTCGCAGCAACTCTATCAATTGCAGTAGTTTGTCAGTGTGCAGTAACAGTTCAGGTCATACTGTAGCAGCACCAGCAGAGCCTAGCATTAAGACAAGTGCTCCTCGAAGCCCAGGTACTTAGTTATGTATTTACACATGAATGAGGAAGATGGGCTGAAAGGCCACTAATTGAAAATGAGACAAAGAAGGCTGTGTCATTTGAAAATATAGTACTCAGAGGTAGAAAAGTGTAATCCAGTTTGGACTGTCTTCCAGTGCTTTATTTGCAGTTTTTATTATGTTATTGGCCTTGAAATTTGTTTATTGCAGATATAAACCTTGTTCACAGTTATACAGTTTTCTTCATCCTGTTGTCATTTTGTCCCTCTTTGGTTAATTATACACCTTACTCTCTCATATATTCAAATTCAACACATTGTACCAATAAGTATTAAAAAACTCTAATGAACTGACTACATAGTGCAGACTTTTTAAAAGTTGATAGCTACTAAACTGGTTAAAAAATTGCCTCCTTTTATGTAACCCTAAGGTTTATTACTTTGTATTAAAACCCATCATTGGTCCATACTCTGAATCAGTTGAATCCATTTTACAACCTCACACCTAGTTTCTCTTAACAGCCATTGTAATATTTTCCTCCAATCTGTGCATAGGCCTCTCAAATTGAGGTTTACAGACTAAAATTTAAAAACACATTTTTCATCTCTCTTATTCTATGCTACATGTTTTACCCATATAATTTTATTTTCAGGATAATTATTCCTAATGGTATTAGACAAAGACTGCAATATATGATGATAATTGAAACACTTGGTAGGAAATTAGTTATCTCTCCTTAGGTAATTATTTAAATAAACATTTAAAAGAACCAGGTAAACTACCATTCAAAATATGTATAGAAATATTATTTGTTATACTGCGTGGTATATTTATCTTTTGGGATGATAGACTGTGATGCGTTATGAGTAAGCATGTTTAAATTTGTTTTAGGAAGTGCACCTTCCTCACAACATAGCAGTGCAAGGGAGAGTCTGAGCTCTTCAACTTGTGGGCTGGAGCACAATAATAATGCACCATCCCACAGAGTACAGCACAGTAATGGCTCTCCATCCCGCAGTCTACAACGCAATAAGAGCTCTCCAGCCTCTGGTCTACAGCGCAGTAATATGCCTCGAGGTAGCATTCATCAGTTAGCGTCATCTCCAATAAAAATAATTTCTCCAAGGTATGTCACTGTTTTAAAATTATGCTTGTTACAGTGATTACATGTTTTCATATTTTTTGAGGCCAAAATTTAGTCTGTAGTTTTCCCATTTTATACATAATATTCATTCTCTGAGAAAATAACATAAATTGAAGCTATTTGGAAACAGTGTTAAGAAAAATATATAGGCCTACAAGAGATTAAATAAATGGGAAAATGTGAAAATTACATAAATGGCATTGCAAAAAGATTTGTTGAATTCTGATGGGAAAACCTCTTGGAAACAGCCACTTGGATGATAAGGCAAAGTTGAGAAGATAATATTAATAGGTTATGTTAGTAAAGATTTGAATGAACTGTCTCAGATCCTTTGGATCCTAATAGAGAAAAATAGTCAGTATACTATTCTTTTTCTTTTGAGTTATTTAAATGTTAAATATGTATGCAGTATGTTAAAACTGATTATTAGATTATTCTCATGCTATGGTATTAGAAACTCTTAATTATTGACTGAAATATAAATTTTGTGCAATGAACTTCTCATTATGATGTTTGGTACATAAGTAAAATTCAATGTATTTTATTCCACTCAGTAGGAAAGATGGTGCTAGTAGGAAGGGGGAGTCAGTGACAAAGGTCCAGTCTTCACAGAAGAACTCTGCAGATGAGGGCTTGCAAGACATATTTTCCTCTTCCTGCAATATTGCTCGCCTCAGTCTATCTGGAAAGAACCCTAAGTCTATTTCTGCCCCGTTTGTTGCTGTTGCCAGAAACAGGAACACAAAGAATGAAATGAAGTCAAATAGGTGAGATCAGTATTTGTCCTTTATTAATTATACTAGCCTCGTGTATGACCCATCAGTTGATGGGAATAAACTTTTCTGTGTTGAACAGTAATGCAGTTTATTGTAGAATTTTCTGTGTGAATTGCTTGACAGACACAGAATAATGTCATTAAGGTGATTGGTCAGAAGCAAAGTTTGTAGTATCCTGTCATTGAAAGTACAAAGTTACAACATTTCTTTATAAAGTCAATTAATTGTGAAACATTTTCATAACAACTGAAGCCAAATTTATGCCAAATGCAGATTGTCATACCTCACTGTAGCCTTAAAAGTTTGTCATTAATCAATTAAAATGAAAAAAAATAGGAGTGAAATAGGTAATACTTACTAATGTCTGTTTCTTTGAGTCCTTTCTGCAAAACTGCTGGTTATTTCAATTATCCATTTACATAATACATTTAACATTCATTAATTTATGATCACATTAATGTGTATGTGGGCATTGTTTTCCTAACAGGGTTAAACTTCCGACATTCTTGAACAAGGGCCTTACTCCCAGTATACCTAGTATGGCCCTCATACTCAGTAGTACAGTGTAAGTAAAGGACTGATGTTTTTGTCACTAAGAGCAGGGGTTTTCAGCCTTTTAAAACCCTGGGGCCATCCATACCAACCCATAGGCTGCCATATTATAAATGCCAACAATTTATTGAGACTTCATGGCAATTTATTTAAATGCTACTAAGTTACTATTGCAGACAAGTTCATATATTAATCTACTTAACATTTTTCTTTAGTAAATTTGCTGATTTTTTTCCAAATATTTTCTGGAAAGTAAATATTTTAGGTAGTAACTATCTTTTACTATACATTGTATAAAATGTTAATTAAACATATGTACATAGGTCAAGTGACGCTGGTAGGTTGTAGGTTGAGAACCCTTGACTGAGAGTGTTTTTTTCGCCATTTGCACAACACAGTGTTTTATTATTCATGAATTCTTTTTGTATTTAAAATATTACAGTTTCTTCAGCAGGCATTTATTCTTATCTTGTAACCAGAAATAAGCATCATTTTTATACTAAAATGTTTGACACATTTATTGTGCAGCTGTATAATAAGTATTATTTTATAAAGTAATATCACAAGAGGATTAGAATAAGTAATCTGGAATATATTTTTTGTAGATGCAGTTGTTTTATTTACCGTAGAAGTATGAAATACGTATATGTTGCATCATTACAGTCTGTCTTTAAATAAATGTTGGAAGTGTTTAAACTGGAATATGACGTAACAGACCTGTGTTGTTCTGCTTTGTGGATGCTATTATTTAGGAATTTTAAAATGTAGTATATGTTCAGAGATAATACTAAGATTAAGATATATTGGTTTTTGAACAAAATTAGTAAAGGAATTTATTAAGGAACTTTCATCCCAGGAATTAGAGAAACTTCTTTGAATTAAAAATGCAAGTTTGTTATATTAGTGTAAATTTAAACAATCTGATTGTGCATAATTGTTTATATAATACATGTTTTCTTTCATATTAATTTGTGATGATTGAATTATTATTTTATTCTTTCTAGTGCCACTTCTGAAGAAATGTATGATCCTTACGTTTCGGCTGAGCGTCAAATGTTGGAGCTTCTATCTCATGGAGACTGGCCAGGGATATCAGAGATAGAAAGGGAACAACAAAATCAGCAGCAGCATCAACAACAACATCAAACACAAGTGTTTACAGAGCCACCTGTTCAGTCTCCACCAGTGTCTTCAACTCCCCCAGCACCAAATGAGTTGCGTACATCTCCAACCTCTGCATTTATTAAATACTCCTCTTCTAAACCTCAATCAGATGTTCCATTGATGGTTGACGAATCAGCACTTGATTATCCTTCTTCTGACTTCAATGATCTGATTATCTCAGGCCATAATCCCAGTTCCCTACAATCTCCACATAACATTTCACTTTCCACACTTACCTCAGAATATGATAAAAACAGTTATAATATTAACAATAACAGAGATTTCACTATCAGCCTCAGTAACCTTAGTCTTTGTTCAATACCAGACTTTGATTTTAACTTTGATTTAGACATAAATGTGACTAACCGCAGCAGTAACAGTAGAAAGAAATATAGAAAGAAGCTTGAAAATGCAGCCCTTGCACTACAACAGTCTGTATCACTCTATCATCCAGGACCCGTAGCAAATGATGAGAGCCAACTGGAGATAGATGATGTAGGTGATTCTCTTGTACATACATCAGAGACTGAAGATAATTCTAGTCCATTACATCTTACATCCTCTTTTCCCCTTTCTATTTCTGACCCCAAACCTGTAAGCACATCCTCTTTGTCAGTTGTACATGCTCATGATAATTCTGAAGAACTGAATGAGAAATTGGAGGCAAGGAAGAAACGTCATGAACTCAGCAAGAATAATGTTCATGTAGAAGATGAATTTACTTTGCAAGACAGTCACAATAATCACCGATCTACTGGCAGTAAGATCAGTGGAGATTCAGCTTACAGCAGGTAAGCAACCACACAAATAGTAACATTTGATAATTGTGGAAGGGAGGTATCCTTCATATTCCCATGTGATAAATGATAACCAATACAAAATTGTTTTAACTGACATGTGGGTAGCACAGTATCCTTTCACATTTACCTAGGCCTTCAAACAGGTTTCTTCTCCATGACGTTTTTAACCAAAATTATACAACTCGCTCACTCATGAAGCAGAGTTCTTATTGAGAAGCCACATTAATCACTCAGCCAGTGAATTGTCTCAGCCTAAAAGTCTCTTTACTTTGTGAGATTTGAGGTTTTCACAGCAGTGATGATGTTCTTCTGGATTTTGGCACCATGTTGACTAGTTGATAAATTTGGACCACTCAACATTGTGCCAAACCCAGAACATCATCATCATTTATTACTTTGTTCATAAGAATCCACTACTAGACCTTATCTTTAGTAGCCAAATGAATCAAGATCACATCCTCATGATCTGTTTCTTTAAAATCCATCCTAATGTTGTGGTTTCCTCATTTTCCAATGATCAGGGAAAGTAACCGAGTAGTCGATAGTCATGGTTTTGACCTTTCTAAATCTCCTCCTAGTTTCAGATCATAAGCATGCCAAGTTTGAGGCAAATTGGTTTGTCCATTCTTGAGTTTTAGTGAACAGTCCCACAATTTCAATTTTATATACAAGATAAAACATCTGTTAATTTGTCACTTTGCACACACATAAAACATGGAATGTATGCACAATTTACTAGTTTTACAATGTCCTTGATTTTCTTGAAGGAGTTGCTTTTTATATGATCCACTCAGCTTGAATCGAAAGTCCCCAATGGCTGATGTTGGCTATCAAGGCCTGGAAAGGCACTCAGAAGTGATACTCGATGCTGATCGCTGCTGCCTGAGCTCCAGTGGATCAGAATCATCACTTCCACCTCTCTGTCCTGTTCAGGTCTGTACTGTGATGTTAATGAAAAATAAATATGAGAAAAATTTAATTTAATGTCTCTCTAACATTCTTTATCATTGTGTGAATATTATGTTGGATATTGTTCGTTGTCTGAGGTATATTTGATTTTCATGATTGGGAGTTGGCTATACTACTATCTTTATGTTGTAATTAATACAAGTTTTTTAATAGTAGTGGATTTAAACCCCCATGCTATGCTGGACTTTTAATTGCTGGGTTTAATCCTCACTGGCTTCTATATGCGTAGTGAGCTGAAGGAATTAATTTTCTGAGGTGGGAGCACTGATGAGGCAGATTCAGTTTTTCCAAACTCAAAATTATATTTCTAGATGATGTCTGGGGGAATAACATTGATTTTATTGGTACAGATGGAAAGGCATGGTGGCAAGAGCCCTCTGCTTACTTCAGCTACACCACTGGTTCTTCAGCCCAATTCAGGTCTGCAGTCACCACCAAAACTGTCAAAGTTCTGTCATGAATGCGGCTCAAAATATCCTGTCACTATGGCAAAGTTCTGTTGTGAGTGTGGAATGAAAAGGCTGTTCATTTGAGTAAAATTTTGCAACCTGAATTGCTTTTAAACTCAGTTTTATTCTGATCCAACTTTTTCACCTAGCATATGAGGAATATAATACTCACAAGTTTTGAAATTATTTCTGAGAGAAAACATGAGATTTGATCTTATGCTCATACCACATTGCCTCAGATATTTGCTACTTCTGATTATAAACCAAATGACCAAAAATGAATTTATTTTAAAGGAAGAGTAGGAAAAGTAATATTTTCATATATTGTTTTTTCCCTCTTTTTAACAGACTTACAGAGGTTTACATTTGGTAAAGCATTTGACAAATTTAAAGTAGCAACCAGCACAATCTGCTGATATAATAAAAAGTTGTATATTGTTAATGGATTGATCTGCTAGAGTTAAAATAATTTTTGGGTAAGTTGTGTTTCATTCTCAGAACTATGTGATTATTTTATACCATGAAATCAGTGATATGTATTTTGTAACCTGCATGCTTTGTAATTACCATATTTAGTTAGAAGATATTTAGGTCACTAGGGTTTCATAATTTAGTGATTTACTTTGATTGCAAATAAGACAATATTAGCCCATTAAATGTTGTTTTCTTGTCATTTCATTTTATTAGATTGATATTTTGCTTGGAATAATGTCTTTTAATCTTAAAGAACTGTGTGGTTTTACAAATTCTATAGTTTTTTGTTACAGTAGTTTTATTTAAGATTTTGTTACCAGAACAAATTACCAAATATTAACAGTATTTTTAAGGTGCTGGAGCAAGTTTGTTGAATTGACAACAGTTTTTATCTCATATATTGTGGTATAATCACTCTGTTTATGAAAGCCTGACAAATCTGTTTAATTGAAAATAATATTAATATGACTAAATTATTGTATAAAATAATGTTTTTGTAATTAACATTATGTAGTTATGTATGTGAACACAGTGACAAAAGGCAAGGATAATTCAAGACGTATGACTAGGAATCAGAATGAGCCAAGCACGTAAATATAAAGACAAGATGGAAGTATTAATTCCATTTTTTAAAAAGACTGATTTTATTCACTCTGAACTGTTTTACTTTTTGTTGTTTTTTAAATATTTTTAAAGGATAATGAGACATTGCCTGCATTATTGTAAAATGAAATAAAGAAGTTTCTCATCTATGGGACCAATTTCATAGTGCTACATCATCTTTCATCGTGGTAACATTGTAGAATGTCATCGATACTCTGTCTGTTTAGCATTCCTGATGGTGATCAGAAATTTTACTGCAATTTTATGTTTGTTATTTTCGTTTATTTTTTGGAAACTAAGAACTTTGTTGAATAAGTGAACATTTTTGGATATGTATTCATGTTTTTTTCTGTTAGGTTTGATGGACATATTAAACAATTTGTAGATAAATCTACTAACATAGTTATTTTTTATGTTCATTTTGATGTTTATGAGACTTGAATTGCCTTTTATGTTAACTTTTTATAAACATGGAGAAAACATTTCAAACAAGTTATTGTAAAAAGATTGTTTCTTATGTATTTTATAACACATTACTTAACTGGATGATTTATAAGAATTCTGACATTTCTAAATATGGAGGAATCGGATTTGTACAAATAAAATTTAGATTGAAATTGATGGCTATATTTTTGTAATGTAAACGGAAATTCAGTGAGAAGAGCAGCTGAGTGATATTGTTTGTTCAAGAAGTTCTTTTGCAGCTGTCATGAAAAGGTGGCAATGGAAAGTATCCAGGAAGTGTGCAGTGATTAGAATTCAAAACTGTTTTAAGTGCATCTACGTGCTAGTTTATTCTAATCACTCAGCTATGGATAATCAAACAATTGCATTTTATCCAGGTAATTACACATTAATTGTACTTATTAAATATCATTTTCTTTTTATTGTCTATGGTCAGCTTGCCCGCCGTAACCCCTTTCGGGGTTTTCTTGCGAAAGTACGATGGTGGTTTCGCCTTGCCTTCCGTGGCCGTGGTTATGTTGTATGACATACAATTCACATAGAATTTGGACATTTAAAATTTACCGCCGGCTAAAATCGAGTAGCTGTTTTATTCATGGAGGCGCTATAGTCAATCAATAACCAACTATATAGATATATATTCCCCTGGATGTTTTACAGAAATTTAATACAAGAGAGATATATCTCTCTGGTTAATTTCAATGGTTTTGTTTACTATAAACCTATTTTTATTTGGTGAGTTATTGTTCAAGTTACGATCAAAGAGGATTGTTATTGATAGTTGTTCTGTGCTAGTTACTGGTTGGTGTAGCTGGAATGTCTATTTCACGTTTGGCGACAATCCAAATCAAATATTCCCTTCGGCCTATAGCAGGGTCTATAGCCAGTTGCTCAGGATGAGTGGAATGATTAAACTGCCGGCAATTCTTGCAAAGAATGTGACAACCAACACGTTGGTAAGTATATTTACTCTTTTCTGTATTTTGCAGTCGTGTGGGTGTTCTGTGTAAGCGTTGATGCGCTGAAATGGAAGCAGAGAGATGTGCCCCTGTTATGTGATCTGGTTACGTAACTAGATTTCAAAAAAATATTGTTCAGGTGATTAAAGCGTTGTTATTGGAACGTATTAGGTTATGACATTACAATAAATACAGTATTTTCTGGTGCTGCGAATATTTCGAAATTTTTACAGAGCGCGGTTGGCCGACCAGTAATCGCAGCCCGAAAGATTCATTTTACAGTTGATGGAAAGCAGACAGAAGCCAAAGTCTCCCAGGTAAGTAATTGCCTGCTTTTTTTTTGTTTCCGATTTTAGCATGAAAGGATCAACGTAGCATTTATTGCAGGAAACTTAGAAATGGAATAATACGTCCATCCTTTTGTAATTATGGCCGTGAACTTTAAATAATATTTGCATTGATGTTTGAAAGGGTTGAAATGTGATGAGAAACGTATAATACACATGTTAATACATTTTTTGAAGTGAAGATGGACATAGTATGTTCAGATAAGTAAGCCACCCATCCCATATGCTTTGAAGTACTTTGGCCATGCTGCATGTATTGTATCATTCTTCTTTGTTTTCACATTACATTCAGGTCTGAAAGCTTTCGTATGTAAAAGTTTGTATTGTTCAGCACCTAAATACTTTTAGTGAATGGAGATGTTATTCTTTGTAAATTTGAAAGGAATGAGTGTCCTATTTATAAGTTTGTATCCCAGAATTTGCCTAACTAACTAACTAACTAGATGGCTTACAGAACCCAAAGGTTCATCATCGAATTAACCAAAAACCCTCCACCGGACCCTCTCCTGGGCCAACAAAATCCAATCTCCTTCAACTCCTATCTCCCATAGATCCCACCTGACATTATCCTCCCATCTACGTCTAGGTCTCCCTAGTGGTCTCTTCCCCTCAGGCTTCCCAACCCCAGAATTTGCCTGAAGGAACCAAAAGAAAAATCATAGATCATACTTGCTGCTGGGTGAAATTAAAATATACTTGATTGAAACATGCATATTAACTGACTGTACCATCATGAAGCAGATTGGCCTGAAAATCTGTATATTAAGTGTCTGTACTATCACGAGGAACCATGCAATATTCTTTTTTGTTAATATGAATAATTATGTGAAACTAAATTTATAGCACAGCTTCAAAGCCACAGTAACCAGTATTATCACCAAAAAAACTAACTCCAAATTTTCTGAGCTGCCAAAATAGTGGTTTTATTTAAATTCTTATTTTTATAATTTTTTTTAAAGATTTCTCGAGACTATGCAGTGGTGGACCACACTTATGATGCAGTGGTTGTTGGTGCTGGTGGGGCAGGGCTCCGGGCAGCCTTTGGTCTTGTTGCAGAAGGATTCAAGACAGCTGTTATTACGAAATTATTTCCAACTCGATCACATACAGTTGCTGCTCAGGGTGGTATCAATGCTGCTCTTGGAAACATGGAGCAAGATAACTGGCAGTGGCACATGTATGATACAGTGAAGGGTTCTGATTGGTTGGGAGACCAAGATGCAATTCATTACATGACAAGAGAAGCACCAAAAGCTGTGATTGAGCTTGAGAATTATGGTAAATAGATAGAGACTTTGCAGGCATTTGATATACCTAGCTTGGAAAGACACCTTTTTTGACGTGTGAAGTGGCATTGAGCCTAACAGTCCATCAGATCATAAAGAGTTGTTTAGTGAAATGAATTAGTAGTAGGTAAACTATGTCATTGTTTTCAAGAAAACCTCACTGATTTAAAGTTTAGCAGTCCCACAAATGTCAGTAAGAGCAAGGTATTTGAATTATTATATGATCCTAATAAGAGATAAGTTTTAAATTAATTTGTTTTTCCTTTATCATAAATGAGTTACATCTTATCTGGTGTCCAAACCTGAGTGCTGAGACTGAGATTAAGTATCTATTATTCCTGGAAGACACAATTTGTTTCGTCGCGATGGGCTATATGTATGGCTGGATGACCATGGTTCAAAAATGTGTGCCCTGTTCATTTCTTTCAAAGCAAGGTCCTTAGGAATGGCCTTACCATTCTATTTTTTAATAATATCTTGATTATTTTTGTCTAGAATATAGATGCTTTACTAAATTAGGTGTGTTTAATCTTCACTCATTTATTTACTTATGTAGTTCATTGCTGTAAACAACTGCAGTATGAAGACATTGTTCTTT